TAAGCCAGAGTAGGCCTGATCAGCTGTATGGATCTAGTTGTGCAGTACTAACTTTTACTGGAATTGCATAAATCAAAGATTGTCTGCCTAGCTGTCTCACTTTTTGTCATTTTAAAATTTGTTCTGTTTCTTTGAAGTTAAGATGGAGCCTGATTCCTCAGGGCAGAATTGCAATGCTGTGGTCTCCCCGGAAGGTCAAGCAGCAGTGAAAACAGAAGAGAGCTCAGAACTTGGAAATTATGTTATCAAGTAATTGTGACTTTTACTTTTCCTGTCTAAAGAGCTATATGGTACCCTATCTTCAGACCTGCCCAGAATAGGCCGTGAATCAAAATGCTGGTCCAGAACTCTAGTAATTTAAGACCTGTGACCATCACTTGGACAAACTGTTATTACCTAGTTATGTCAGGCTATGGACAAACATACCTCTTAGCCACTTTAAAGGGGAGGGAGAGCTGTTGTTCAGGATTGCACATCAGCTGGTACGCTAACTGTGATGTTTGCATGCCCTTGTAGTGATACACATCAGCGAAACAGCTGTAACCTTAAACTAGAGTGAAAAAGGGTTAAATTAGGAAAGTTTTGTTACATTTGCTTTGCTACAGAATCATGTGGATGTACCAGTTCCATCTTAATAGCTGATATCAGCATTGTTTGATAAGACAACTGTCTGTGCCCTCGCTGATTAACATTCATTTTCAGATATCAGCTACATCTGTATCTGCAGGATGTGGTATTAAAATATTCCCTTTGTAGATGGACTTGTATGCAATGTTGCTGAAAATGAATTATTTTATGGCCTTTGGTTATTTATGGGATATGTACAAATCTAGAGTCCTGGAATTCCCATTCTGCACAATGTTATATAGTGGCCCTTGAAATATAGGATTCTTTTGGGTGGGCATGAATACCCATGCTGTGTTCCACTCATTTCAGAGTGATCTGAAGGCAGCAAATAGCCCTGTGGTCAGACATGGAATTGTTTATACCAAACAAGATTAATATTGTGCGTGCTTGGGGCCTTTAATATATTATATTGTGTATGCTAGAGTCTGTTTTAAAAAATCAGGTGACATTAAAACCTTACGTATCTGTTTTGTCACTCTAAAATGTCATTACTTAGCATGGTAATCTTTGTCCTTTGCAGCATAGAATATTTGGAGAATGTCCAGCAGCTTTTAACAGTGATCGTGAAGAAGGTTCCATTAATTGCTGAGAAAAGTAAGAAGTGAACGAAATTAAGCTGTTTGTTATCTTGATAGCACCCTAGAGGTGCATGGCTCTTTACAGCTGAGAAGTTTATTCAGAAAGAAGGAAAACATTGAATAGAATTAAAACACAGTCCCAAAAATTGTCTTCAGGGTTTTGTTGTTTCTAAAGACTTTAATAATCTACACTGGCCAAGAAGCAAGGCATTTGTTGTCTTGCTTTAGGAGGATTTTCAGACAAACAGCCAGTCTGTTTCACCTGTCCTGCTACGTCTTGATTGCACACCCACTCCTTCCCCATATATATCTAGATATAGATATATATGGGGAAGGAGTGGGTGTGCAATCAAAATATATGTGTGTGTGTGTGTGTGTGTGTGTGTGTGTGTATGTATGTATGGGGAAGGAGTGGGTGTGCAATGTGGGAAAAATACCAGGAAGGGCAAAGTTTCCCTAGTAACTCACATACTTGGAAGAGTGGGGAATGCTGGAGATGGAAATGAAGATGGCCCTCTGCAAAATAAGTAGAGCAAGCAAAATGATGGCATGAGCTGCTGTAAATGGCTTTTATTGCATATGGTTTTGGGAGACGTATATAACACTCAAGGAATTTGCATCCTGGAGTATAATACCCTCTTCCTAAATTTGTGCTGGTAACACTTTTCTAGAAGTCTTCTACTTTATTGTTGCATTTCTGTTTTATATTGATATTTTTTTTATATTCTTAAATTTGATGGCCAGATAAATGCTTGCAAAAGGAAAATACTTTTGATTACAGTGGCACATTTTCTTCATTCATGTTTTGCCTTCTGGATGTGAAAGGGGGTGCTTAGTCTCAGTTGCATCAGTTTAATCTAACAAAGAGGGACAGTGATTGTGCAAGCCTCACATGTACAGTTTATAAGAGCCTATAATCCTTTGTGCTGTGGCCACTACACAGAGAACTCATTTTCTCTTTCTTCTCATCCAGTACAATGTATCTGAATAAGCTTCTTTTGAAAAGGAGGTTTGGAGGTTACTAGAAACAAAGTAAATTTGATATTATAGTTATTCAAATTTAATTCATTTTTTTTATCACGCACTTTTTTTAGGTGAGGATGCCAGTTCTTTCTGTGCCAGTTCGGTGGAACAGTATTATAGTTGGAATATTGGAAAGCGAAGGGCAGCGGAGGTAATACTCTCTTTACTTGTTTTATCAGCAGTGGTTAGAACTAAGGGAGTCTGGATTTAGCAGCTTGGAACTGCTCCAGAGATCTGTCTTTGCTGTTTTGGAAAATGCTGTTGTTTGAAATGGAGGTATTCTTTACAATGATAGCCTTTGATCACTTTGCATGTAGTACTCCAATTTACTGTTTAATGGACTACAAAACTTTGAAGTTCAGTTTTCAGGGGCTTCAAATTTAAATAGGAATATATATTAAATTGGGATATATTTACATCATGTCCTTCTTGCCCTATGTCTCCAAGCATCACCATTGCATGGTGGAATATCTCAGTAGTTCTGTCTATCCTTGTGCCTTTTCCTTATAAGTGGATGGTATTGGGTTTACTCTCTGTTAACAGGTCAAGTAAAATCTGGCTTAATCCAAAGCCAATATTGAATTTACTGTGGGTAAAGATTTTGTTGAGGTTATTTTCATAGTGTTACAGTTGCATTTTCCTACTTAATTTTTCTGCCATGCTGTTATGGGCAGAACTTATATGGGAAATAAAACTGACTAGACACAGGGCTGTCTTAGTGCCCAAAGGTAAAGACAATGCTAAAAACCAGAGGAAGCCATATTTCCCTCTAATGGGTTTCAAATACTGCTTGCTTAGGTGTCTCTGGTAATAATAGAAGGTTAATATTCTGACAGAAGTATGAATCAATTGACTGTGTCCCTTTAGTACCATTTCTGCAAGGTGTAGATATCGTTCTTAGGTTTTTTTTGCAGGGATGTGGGAAGGGAGACAGAGGTTTAAATGACCTGCCCGAAGTTGCAGAAAGTGTCAAAGTTAGATTCACCTTCCTCTAGTTCACGCTGCCTTCTGGGGGAGAACACTGTGTAATCAGAGTCTCCATTTTCCTAGGATCTTAAATTACTGTGGAGAGCTGTGCTGTAGTCTCACAGAGCATATTGACTGAACCATCCCCTCCTTTTGGTTTCTTAGTGGCAGCGAGCAATGACGGTGAGAAAAATCCTTCAGGAAATCATAGAGAAGCACCCCAGATTTCACAACATCACCCCTCTGAAAACAAAGCACGTGGTGCATTGGTGCCGTTGCCGTGGCTACACCCCACCTGACCCCGAAACCCTGAGGAACGAGGAGGACTCCATTGAAGATGTGCTGACTCAGATAGACAGTGAGCCAGGTAAGCAGTGAGGGGGAGCTGCCCTGGCATGCCTTATCTCCCTAAGACATCATTCACTAAATGGCAGAAGTGTCCCCACTGTATGCCCCAGCATGTCTTTTAAAGCACTGTCCTGGAACCAGATAAATTAGAAATATAGAACGCCTCTTAGCCCATCTGCCATTTCCCCAGTGCCCTCTCTTGCTCCTTACTACTCACCTTCAAGTGCTTGGTCCAGGCTAGTTGCTGGTGATGTTACAGTAGTGTGAAGAGGCCCCAACCTGGACCAGGGTTCAAGAGCTAATGTGAGTTAATTTACCCCAAACAGCAAGGGTGCATCCACCTATGTTGAACATCATGTTTCTACAGCTGGACTGCCTCCATTACCTGATCTAGCTCGGGTATCCACAGTGGATTGCAGTCAGCAGTCTAGACCGTATCTCTGATTTCATCCCCCTTCTTCCAGTTTTTCTTCCCTGTTTCACCTTCAGATAATCAAAGTTTGAATACCTTCCTGCCCTGACCTTACAAGGATTTTTGAGATTTCGGAGAAGGGCCAGGATTTAGTTATTCTCTCAAGTCTGGCATGCGCTGCATTTATTGTAGTGCACTGTGCTGACTCCGTACATCTGAGTCTCTGCTTGTGCAGTTTGGCCTGTTTTGGCAGTGGTGTGCTTCAGGAACAGTGGGAGGTTCAGGAGCCCTCAGATTAGCCGTTGCTTTTTCACCTGCTTCTGCTGGGCAAGTGAGCAAGAGTGTCTGTCAGCTGTATCCCATACCAGCACTTTGAATAAGCAGTAAATTCCCCTAAACAGGGTTGTGGCTTGTGTTGGTGGCCTAGTGCAATGTTTGCAAAGCGTGGGGCTTTCAGAAGACAGACTACAGAAAATAATTTTGTCATGCTGTGCTCACCAGCCCACTGCCTCCCTCTTGAATTCTGTTTGGCCTTTTCTGTCTTTCATCCTTTTTTCTTTTTTTTTTCTTTTTTAAACAAGCAAGTATATTGAAAAATGTACTTGCTTAAATCCTGTAGGCTGGCTTCATTAAGCCATCAAGAGTATTTCTATATGGTGCACTGTGGCACATCACAGTTTTCAGAAGCCATCAAGTCAAGGTTCAGGAGAAACATTTGAGGAGGAAAGTTCTTCGGTTCAGGCAGAATTGAGTTGTGCTTAGGACCCTGGAATGTGTGTTTCTATCAAAACATGGCTGTTGGTCCCCAGTTTGTCCTCAAGGCCCTCAGAGGTTGCAAGTGGCTACAGGAGATTAAAATGTTAAACCTGAGGTTGACAGGGAAAGAAAAGTTAGATCTTGCCTGCTGTTGTCCATGAGCTAGCAAAGACTGGGGACCACTACTCTAGAGTTTATTGGAGGCTTGGCCAGAGAAGAGTCGGTAGGGAGGCCTAGACTTATCTCGTCATTTAAATAGCTGTGGGGGTATTGAGGGGCAGTGTCTGTTGGCAGAATAGCTTTCCACGTTGATTCCCTGAGTAGGTCTAGAGTCTCATATACACAATAGAGGTCTGGCCATTTCTGCCAACAGAGAATCTGGCCTCCTGCTTTAAAGAGTTTATTTTTCAAAAATGAAATAATTGAATTTTGCATTGTGATTAGTATTTAGAGCCATGTAGCATTTCCATTTTGAAAGCAGCTATCTCTAAGTAGTTAGAGAGCTGGGTAGTAAGTAAGTAAGTAGTAAGAGCTAATTTTAACAGGCTTGACTATGAAAGAACTGTAGAACTTTAAGTAAATCCCTTGGCCCTGCTAGTGTTTAACATGTATCCTCTTTGGCAAGATTGCCAGGAACAGATGGGCAACCTCATATATTTTAGTAAACTGTGGAGTCATTAAAGAGAAGGATCTTGTACATAGGACCAGGATGGATTTGATTTTAAATCAGTTTAAATCACTGGTCAGGAAGCCTTGATTTAACCATTGTTTTCTACAAAAAGTGCATTCTTGTTGTTTGATATAAATTTAATACGTATTATTCACAACTCTGAGATAGATGTAGGTTTCATTTTTAGAAGGTACACTATAGATTTTAAAGCCGTGATTTATTTTGATGTTTGTCAGATTAATTTTGCAGCTACATCACAAAACTGAATTATGAATTAGCTATTTTATTTACCAAAGCTAATTGACGCAGATACCTGTGAAGTCATTGGGAGGTGAACTATTTCCAGTTCACTGATTAATCATAGATATTTGGGGGACATTTTTGCCATGCTGTATTAGGACGACAACAACAACTGCCACAAAAAACAGACCTATAAACTGTTTTATTTAATTAAAACTACAAGCTTATGTATTTTGGATATTTTTTCAACAAGAAATATACTTAATTATTTTAACAAAACAAGCATATGCATTTTGAATTTTTAACTATTTTAGTTATAAATGTGAAATGTTTTTAACAAAAATTAAATAGATTATTTCAGCCAGGTCAGCATGAGAAACTTAAAATACTGGGTTATGCAGCAAATTCGGTCTTTACCTTCCTCTTCCTTTTTATTCATAAACTGGAAAAGAAAGACAAGCTTTCCTGCTTTTTCAGTTCCCAAGTGATTTCTCAATTTAGAATTAATTAGTCCAAAGGAAGATATTCTTTCTACATCTGCAGAAGAACCTACTGCTGTTAAAAGATGGATTATCACTTCAGTAGTCTGTGATGGATCCAGATGCTTAAATGACTTCCACTAGTTCACTGGTGTGACTTTAATCTTTAAAACCTCATCAGCAAACATATTTCTTGAATGGTTCACCCTTGGCCCTGAAATTTATTACAGTTGGGATTATGGAGGGATGATTTCTGGATGCCCATGTCATAACCAACTCCTCTTCTTCAGCAGTTAAGATTTGACGCTGATACTGAATATTGACAAGAAAATGAGCTGGAGATGGTGCTTGATCCATTCATTTTTAAAGCCTGTAACTTAACTGTCATTGTGTATTTCTCTTTTCAAGGTCTCACACATTCCATCCAAATTTCAAGAGTATCAGCAATAAAACACCAATTTCCCTGTGCTTTGTTCAAAGCTACTGAAATAGGCTTCAGGATAGTCAGCATACATTCTACATTTCTCTTTCGCCCAGTGTTGAGAACTTTGGCTATTACAGTTCCATCTGCTGCTGCAAAGTGGTTGTTATGGAAATATTTTACAGTTTCAGCAACATTAGCCTTTATTTCTGGAGCACTGACATTGGCTAAGAGGTATATCAAATGAGCACTGCAGCCATATGTTATTAGCTTGGGGCTTTCTTCACTTTCTTCTAGATTTCTTCTCATCTTTGATGTTTGCAGCATTGTCTGTGAAAAATCTGCATACTATACATTTGAATTTTTTTTCACAGTTTGTTACAGCTTTTACTGCTATTTTTTGTAAGTATTCTGCTGTGTGTGCATTTCATGATATATCATTTGTTTCTGTAAGGTAGACAGTCCCTCCTTTTGTTGTCATACAAGCACATACTGGATCATTGTGGACATTGCTCTATCCATGAAGACTCGGGTTAACAATTTCCCCTCTGACTTTTTGCATACTGTTCACTTTTTCTCATACACTTTATCCAGCAATTTGCCTACTACATCTGCTCATTTGGGTGGACTGTATCCTGTTTGTAATGACTGAACCATGCCAATGAAGTGTGTGCTCTCAACCACACGGCTAGGGGAGTTTTTTGCACAAACAAACCGAGCAATTTTTTCATCAATTACCTTCTACTGTCATCTGCTGGTTCTTATTACAAACTTATCTATGGTTGTTTCTGGATGATGGGGATTTTTTTTTCTTTTTGCTACAGGTGATAGACTATGCGACATACAAAACGCTGGTATCATTAGCAGATAACTGTGAAACTGTAGATAGTGATGATGATATTGAAAATGGATAGTCAGAATATGCTGTATGTTGAGGATGGATCCTCCTGAACAAAAGAAGTCAATGCAATCACTACAGTACTGATCATTTAGTATTACTCATTGCACTTGGTACTTTAGAAGTTTTGCACTTGGTACTTTAAACTGTAAAAGGAAGATCTGCCTATTTCAGCTATCATTTTGTATCACAATTGCATTAAAACTATGATAGTTCCATAAAGTAACAACTATATCTTTGCTCAAACCTTTTTAATGAGAATTCAGATAGTCCAGAAGTCCATCCAAAAGATATGGACAGGGAAGACAAGGAGTCCTTAAGAAAGAAGCATGAAATAAGAACGTTTATTAACTTGGAGATCCTGCATGTTCAGACATGTTCCATTCATCATCTTCAAAGCAGCTTCCTCCTGAAAAGAAGCACTTCTCATTATGTTGTTTCATTCAGGCAACCAGGCCTTGCATTTCTTTGTTGCACTGTTTGCATTTTGCATGCATTCCTGTCCTACCCACAGATTGAGGAACTTTATTAAAATATTCCCAAACAGGGTCTCTCTTACAGCCTGGCAAGCCTACAGCCCTGATAGGTTTTTCCTTCTGCAATACCATCATCTCACTAGATTTCAAATCAATAGAGAGCCTATACTTGGAAACTTATCCCTCAAGACTTCTGGAATCTTCTGCTCAAAATGTTTCTCTTTTGTTTCTACTGCCCCTCCCCTCTTGCATTTATCTCCAGACTCCTCCTCCTTGCCCAGATCTACTCTACCCCCAACAATCCTCTATTCATTTAACTTCTTGAAACTTTGCACTTTTAGAGAGAGGTAAGGCTTAACTGTGTATACAAACTTGCAGAGAGACAAAAGGGCTGATGGGTGGGTAATCAGGTCTGTTGTCTCATCTCTATACTGCTGTGAACAAGGATGTTATCTCTGGAGGCACAAATCCAGTTTGAGAACTGAAACTAAGCATCACAGAGATGCTTAATGGGATCTTCTTGACTGAGCCCCATTGGGTGGTTTTCTTTAATTTTTACAAATCTATAGAGATGCCTCTAGAAACTCCATACGACTGGGCCCCTAATATAGGCCATGGACTGTTGTGACCTATTTATAAAACTTTTCTAAAAAGGTTCCATGAATATATTGTCTCAGATAGCATATACTTAGAAGTTATAATCCGTATTCCATCTTTGAGTTTTACCATAGCTGAAATTAAAATTACCTTTATATAGATTTTTTTTTAAAAAGCATCTTAAAAAAAATAAAAACCACAAATAAAATATTATTTAAATTGAAAATCCAATTTCTTTTATTAAAAAAAAATCATTGATTTTTACCCACCCTGCATAGGGCTGGAAAGGGCATCCTGAGCCATTGAGTCCAATTCTCAGTGAGTAGCACTTGTTCTTTTTCCACTTTACATTAAAACCAAACTACCAAGATGACAATTTAATTACTGAGTTTCTCAGTAGATGCTGGGTGTGTATCTGTTTTAAGTGGTCTTCTGAGATGAGTTTTTAAGACTAATTGCTTCTCATTTAGAATGTCCATCGTCTTATACCAGTGGGGAAGAACTGTGCCGAAAACTGGAGGAGCTGCAGCAGTTTCTGAAACGGGAACCAGAACATGAGGAGGAAGTGGATATCCTTAGCTTTACTGAGCCACTGAAAATAAACATTAAAAAGGAACAAGAAGAGAAACAAGAGGAGATGAAATTCTACTTGGCATCCTTGCCTGCATCAGAATTTGTGCAGGACACAGCAGAGAAGGTATTAAAAAGTGATTCATAAAGCTCATGAGAAATGCTGCTAAGCTAGTTATGACCTTCCGGGGATTTATTTAGTGCCTTTCCTCCATCTGGACCCAGCTACCTTACTAATTAAATCTGTAAATGGCTTGAGAAATTCACTCTCCTGGCCCGTGCCAATTGTGAATTGCTGTGAGTGGGCCAGCTCTGGCAGTAAAGCGAAGCATACTTGAGTCAGATTCTTTGTTGCTGCTTTGTAGGTTCTGCACAGCATCAGTAAATCCCAGTCTTGTAAGTGAGAAGTGGCAGGGAACACAGATGCTGAATCCCTGCTCCTCCATCAGGGAAAACATAGGCTAGTCCGTTCCACCAGTGTAGCTCAGCAACTGTACACATTTATTACAGTGAAGTTACTGAGGATGTGGCAGTTTTCTTGCCTGTTTAGATTTCTCTCCTTTGTCCCAAGGTTGGGTAGATGAAGTAAAGGGGTGGAGAGGTGTCCTCTCACAGCAGCAGAAAGGAGGGAGAAGAGCAAAAGACAATCTTGCTCATGTGCTACTGAAGTGAGAAACTTGTTTTTCATGGGAGGAGACTGGAGGTAAAGGAGGGGTGTTTCCTCTTGTAGAAGCTGAAGGAGAACAGAAAGAAGTGTATTTCTTCTCCAGAGACATGGTCAGATGATATCGGAGGGGGAAGCTGAAATACAGCTTTGAAAGGGAATTGCTGCCTGATTCAGAACTATTAGATACAGAGCCAGTCTTTGCAGCAAAGTCAGGGAGAACAAAAAGCCAGTCGAGTGAATGTATGCTTAAATTTAAAAGGCTTTCCTTCCTAATTTACAAATGCTTCCCCAGCCCCCTATGCCAAGTCAAAATTCTAATTATTCCTGCAAATTCTTTCAGTTGCCATCTCATCTATAACAAAAAAATATCCAATTAGTGTTGGTTTTATTTGATACAATAATCTGTCAATCTGAGTTAATTTTTTTCCTCTCTCATTTTATAGATAGGGATTTCTTTTCAGCCTGTTGAGGTGCACAAGAATGTTTATGCATCAGTTATAGAAGATATGATTTTAAAGGTAAGTCGTGATTTTACAATGAGTACATTTCTGCAGCTGTTTTACCTAGCAGCATAGAATAAAGATGAAGAATCCAGGTCAGCAGTTAAGATCACTCAACATTTTAGAAGACATGCTAAATCAGGTGCTCAGCCTGTAGGTGCGACTAGGAGTTATCTGTGTGCACAAGTGTATATATACACTTCATACTTTCCAACTGTGGTCTGCTGGCTTAGACACAGTACTGTGATTTCGGAACCCCTTATCTCTAATCCTCGGAGATCAAATCTGATATCGAAAAGGTTCTGTGACTTTGGGCAAATAATGAAACATACCTCTGTCAGTTTTCCCTATATATGGAGGGATAGAATTAGAAGGGACCTTAAAGGTCATGTAGTCCAGCCCCTGCTGAGTTGCATGATTTGCTGTGTTGTTAGTGTTTGAAAGGAACTTTCAGAGATTTTTCTTTCCTCCAAATGCTGCTTTTTTCCAGGCTCAATTGCCTCTTCTGCCAGTTTGCTGCACTCCTGAGACCCGGTGATCGTTTTTCCCCGTACAAGTGTGTAATACTAACAACAGTCATTCCCAGTTTCGGGTACAACGTTTTAACAACATGAAACTGGAGCTGCAGTATTTGAGGGTTTATCAAAATTATTTTAGCAGGTGTTTACTATAGTTCAGCCTGAAGGAATATTTGAAACACTTAGGGCCTTGTTGCACATTAATTTTAGGTGGCTTCTGGGGCTCTTACCCCTGGATTGTCCATACTAACACCTGAAACTAGTTTTAAGCGCACTTTAGGTGGTTTTAAGCATGCTTTAAGTTATGTCACTCCAGGGCAGGTTTATCTCTGAACTGTGTTACCCAGCTCATGTTCCATTAATGTGCGGCCACTCCCCATAGACAAGCTGCCCAAGTTGCAGTCCTTCAGCATGCGTTGTCGTCTCCCCCTCCCTGTTCTGTGTGGACAAACTTTCCACCCTCTGAACTCTGCTGCCCAGGGGGCAGTCCTGGCACCAAACCAATTCCCCCTCCTACACCAGGGGGTATGACCTTCCCACCCCCAGGGATGCAACCCTGTGTAAGCAGCCTGCAGAGCACATGCCAGCTAGCAAGCTGAAATTCTTCCTCTGCCTTCAACTCAGCCATCTTCTCCAGCATGAGCCAAAGGATGCCCTCCCTGGACCAGCACCCCACACCTCAATCCCAAATCCTAACTTATTAAAACATGAGACCTTCTTTAATTTACTTCCTCTTTATTTCTTTTTTAAAACTTTACTTTTTTTTACTTTTTATTTTATTCTTCAGTGCCTGGCTGACTTAATTTCACACCGTTCCCTAACCCCCGTTTCCTTTCTGCCTCCCATGTCATTACCCACCCCTATCCCATTAATTCTCCACTTACCATCTTCATGTTCCCACTGCCTTCCAACCCCTCTTTCACACACCCCCACCTAGAGCAGGGATAGAAATCTGTCCTGTGTCACTAATCTTCAAGTGGTAATTCACAGCTATAGCTCCTAGTCTAGTCCCTGCTCGCCAGCCCTCTAATGGCGTGTCACAGCTGTACAGGTTCAGGACAGTTCAGAGAAGGTTTTTAGTCTTAATGTGCGACTGCTCCAAATGGACACTACCATTAACATTGATCAACATTTGAGCAGCTCAAAGTGTAACATGTAACAAGGCCCTTAAATAGACTATGTAGAGAGTTTTATTTAAAAAAAATACTTTAAAAATCTGATCTGCAGGTCATTTATGACACTTAAGTCAAATAACATAAACTATGTTAATTGCTTTAGCCTGTTTTACTTGTCATGTCCTAATGCTGCCTTTTGTCACAGGCCACCGAACAGCTTGTGAATGACATCCTGCGACAAGCGCTGGCTGTTGCTTACCAGACAGCTCCTCACAACAGGTCAGTGACTGAGCCCCTCTTTTCATAATTTTGTATCACTCATTATTAACCCAATGGATTGAACTTCTTTAAGAATTTATTAGATAGTTGCATGGCTCAAATTCTATCATCAGTTAATCCCAATCTAAGTAGTCTAATAATTAGACTAGCATGTAATGCTTTTGGCCATTGCAGGACATCTGTTGTTTTGTTTTTGTTTGGTTTTTTTAATAGAATATTATTGCTAGCAATTTCTTTTTGCAAGAGTTACCAAATACATATCTGAACTCCATTGTCTGTGTGTGGAAGAAATCATGCCTCTACTGAAGGCTGCCTGCCTTCTACTGGTGATTAGTACATTTTCCAACATGAAGTCACCAGTAGCTGAAACCATTTTATAATGACAGCTTTTAAACCATAGAAGTTGTTTGGTATTTTCAGCAGAGGCTCTGTGAACATTTACATCCTATCCTTTTGGTGACTGGGCTGGCCAGGGCTTGATTTTACTGAACATGCTACTCCTACACTTTCAGTCAGTGGGA